CCTGAGTGATGGAGTTATACTGAGATAGCCCCAACGTAGACAATGCTATGTTGATGGGAGAGCTTCTCCTGTTGACACAGCTCCTGCTTCTCGGGGAGGTGGATTAACTACAGTGATGGGAGAGCTCTCCAGTCGGCATAGTAGCATCTTCACTAAAGCGCTACAGTGGTGCAGCTGCACCAGTACAGCAGTGCTGCTATAGGGCTGCACGTGATGACAAGCCCGGTATCGTGCTGAAGTGTCACAAGTGGCTAAAAAGTCCTATTCTCGAACGGCAGTCTGTGCCACCAATGGTGCAGGCGTAATGCACAGGGCTAGTATATGAAACCGGTGCTCTTGAGGCCTGCTGCACTTTCATTATTATGGCTCACTAATATCAACGCATAGAAAAAGATCCTTATGAAAACCGGTCCTACATATATGGAGCAGTCACCCTTTAAGCCTCATTATCTCAGCTATTTGCAATTTTTAAAAAAATATCAAAGGGTTCAAGTTCATATTAAGAAGCAAAATAGCTGCAGAGAAAATCATCTTAAGAAACACAGCTGATCTGAAGTTAAAGAAGTACCAAAAAAAAAAAAAAAGTCTAAGCCTCCACCCCATCTATTCTGCTTAGTACCCCTGTGACTTTAAAACCTAATTTCTTTTAAATTTTGCAAAAGGAAAAAAAAAAGAGTTGTTGGGCAATTCCTCACTTATCAAGTTTCATCCTGGAGGGAATTTTTATAGCTGAGTTATAAACCCTCCACACTAGTGTGTTTATAATGGAAATGCTGACAAATGTGATAATAAACACCAATCATGGGGCCTTAGTAGCTAGTCAGAATGTGGATGCAGGAGTTTTCAATGCTATCATAATATTTTGTTCTGTTTCCAGCACTAATTTGCTTAAATCTGCTTTCAGGTTGGGAAGTTGTAAAACAAGATCAGCCTGACTATAGATTGTAAAGTCTTTTGATTATTTTTCCTTCTCTTGGAAAGCTTGGTAATGTCTTTCAAATATGATTTCATTTAGACTTATTTTTTGGTTTACATGTCTGAATACTAAGAGTAACCTGATAGCTATGAGGGAACTCAGCTTTATACCAAAAGGCAGCCTTCAGTGAGCAAAGAGAATATAAACAAACCCGCCTCAGAGCAAGATCTAAAAATGGTATTTGTTCAAACAGCTCTAAGACTTAAAAAACCCCATTATTATCTTTTCCCAGGAATAATTGACACCATCAGTTTTTCTTTTTAATGCGGTGATAAAGGCATGGTCCTTTAGGAGAACCAATAGCTGTGATTAGCTTGTGCATTGGAGGCTGCTGTGTTTTGGAGACCTTTAAATATACTGGGTAAAATCCTACCCCATTGAAATTAATAGGAGTTTAGCCATTTACTTCAATAGGGCCAGGATTTCACTGGATCCCATTCTGATCCCAGATATACCAGATTTATACTACTCCATTGACTTTAGTGGTGTTACCCCTGAATCAGACCAGGGTAAGTGAGATGAGAATCAGGCCAATTGTACATTTGATTGCAATGAGAAGGGATTATACTGCAGCTGGAAACCTGCCCAGTATGGTTCCAAAATGTGTTTACATGTCTGGCACACCATGGCCCCAGTATTGCAACTGGATCAACAGGGGCAGATGGATGAGCCCATGTGGAATCCCACTGCCTTCAGTGCAGTCCCACAGGGGTGAAGGGGTCTGCCTGAACAGATCTAGTTACTGTTGTTGATGGGAGCCCAAGAGAGCTCTGCACCAAGTATGCGATTGCATCAGATCATGCTTTTTTTTATAAAGTCATCCAAGTCAGTGATAAATCAATTGAAGCAAGCAAAGCCAGACACTTGCACTTGATAGTTGGTTTGTAGGAAGACATTTGTCAGCTCCTCCCCTCATGTAAATCAACACAGAATTGGAGGAGCTCCCTTGAAGGCAATAGTGCGATAGCAATTTACACCAGTGGAGGTCCTTGACATTTGCCCTGAGCTGTTTATACATTTTCTCCTCTGGCATAAACTGCAGTGGCATTTTTTTCTTCAAAATCAATGATTCAAACAGGAATTTCACTATAGCTCTGACTTACCATTGTCAAATTTCCAGTGAATTCTTTAATAATAATTAATTATAATGGATCAGGATTTTGGGTCATACATAAATAATAAAACACAGACTTTGCTTTCTGCTTTTTCCTAATTGTTAACACAAGTATGAAAACAATTTGGATCTTGAAATGTTCCAATGTTTTGTTATTAAGCCAAAAAAAGAGAAAACCAATAATTTCTGAATTATCTGACACAGACATGTTTACATTTTGAATCTCTTAGCTTAAAATAAAATGGGTTATAGAGACCTAATTTTATCCAGTGACACAGAAAAGAACACTCATGAAGAGATACACAGCCTTTCTATGGAGAGCACAGTTATATAAAAATTATAATATAGGAGTAGTTTTAAGAAATGAAAATCTAATTGCACACTCCATTGTCCTTAAAGAATCTGTCTTCATGTTGATGCTTTATACAGTGGTAATAACAATATACATCTGGACCATTTGTTGATTTGAGGGGTTTAATCTTCACTTCTAGTTAAATTTTTCATTTTTAGCAGAATATATTCTAATACAGGAAGCACCCCAGTTTTATAGTGAGGTTTGGCCTGTATTAGCCAGCCCACCCTCTCTTAGAAAAGATATTTCAACAACTCAGAAAGCAGATATATTGCAAAGCAACTGATATCTGAATTAGGAAGGTCAGCACAGGTAAGGAATAAGCATCTGGCAATGCAAATGTTAATAGCAATATTAATAGTAAATAATAAACATAATGAGAAACAGCAATAACAATCCTTATGGGAGTTAACAAAACCATGGACTATAATTCATAGATACTTGGGCCAGATTCTGATCTCGGTTATATTGGCAAAAATCCAGAGACACTCTTTTGATTGGCACTGTTGCAGATTTATACCACTTAATTCAAAGGGAGTTCTGTCACTGACTTCAGTGAGGGCACACTCAGACCCTAACCTGTTTATTAAGATGCTTTTGATGTAAGGTCAGGGTAAATAAACCTGTTTTATTTATCTCACTGGAGAAGAAGTAACAACGGAAAACCATGAGAAATGAAGGTGAGAGGGAGCAGGAACACTAGAAATGTATGTGGAGAGAGAGAGAGAGAGAGAGAGAAACTTGTCCCCAATGTAGATATAGATGTTCCAGATTTAGATTATAGGTGTTTGGAATTTTCTGAATTGCAACATTCTGAAATTTTTAAAAATTGGGGGGAAATGAAATGAAAAAAATTACAATTTTCTTCTGTTTTCAGATCACCTTTAGGGCTAGCCAATTTTTAAAAAACTTTTCAAAATCTCAAATTTATTTTTAGACAAGTCAAATTTTCATTCCCAGGGGCCCCAATTCCCCCACCCTCCTTTCCCCAGATCAGATGCAATTCCAGTGATACTAATAGTGGAGGCAGATTCCTAGAGTCCAAGGCCAGAAGGGACCATTGTGATCATCTAGTCTGACCTCCTGCATAACTCAGGCCAAAATAATTCCTAGGACAGATCTTTTACAAACACACCGGGGCTGGATGTAAAAATGGCCAGGGGTGACTAATCTCGGTCAGTTTCCCCATTGCTTTGGCAGAGGAGCTGGAACGCACATAAGGCGCGAGAGCCAGGCCAGACCTGAGCTCAGAAAGCACTCAGGAGCCCCTGCAGGGGACTCAGTTCGCAGGGCAAAGGCCAGAGCTATTGCCGGGGAAAGCAGCCCCGAGTCAAGGGCAGATGGGGGGGCGGGGCAGCTGGGAGGACAGGGGGCTTTTCCCCTTCGCTGCTCATCTCGTCACTCGCCGCTGGCTCTTGCCACTGGTCCCGGGCACATGGGAACGGGTGACCCCGGCGGCGCTCTCGGATAATGCCAAAATAATTAAACTCGCCCCTCGCCGGGCCTGCAGTAAGCCTCCGCCCGCCCCCACCTGCAGGCGGAGAGACGGCAGCGAGCGGGCTAGCGCAAGCCAGTTAGCCCGGGCTGGGCCGAGGGGGCACAACGGAGGACGCGCCGGGCTTTCTAGGGGCGCCGGGCCGCTGCGCTCAGCTGTGTGCCCGCGGGAGGCGAACGGAGCCGGCCTCTGCAGCCGAGCCAGAGACGGGGGGAACAGGGACCCCTCCAGGATCCCTCTGGCCTGCCTCACTCGCTCGCTGCTAGGCCGGCTCCTTCATCGCAGTGCCTCAGCGGCGGTTAGCCCAGGGAGGCCGGCTGATTGACGCCAGCCGGGGATCGGGCCCAGGGGCGTGTGTTTCCCTGCTCACCCGGAGCACGGATCGCTCCTAGGGCACGTTCTTCCCGGGAGCCATTGGCTCCCCTCCCCCAGGCTCGTCCCCCTCCCCCCTTGTCTCTTTCTTTCCTTCGGGGACTTTTCATCATCGCCTGGACGCGGCTGGACTCTCTCCCAGACCTTACCCCCGGCCCCGTCCTTTCCCAGCACTCCTTTCCCAAGAAACTTTGCTGGGCTTGCTGGAAGCCCCCGTGCCAATTCCCAGCTCTGTTCAAATGGTCCATTCGACGCGTGAGTTGTCATGTGATGCATTAGATTGCCTTTTCCGGCTAGAAGAAAAGAGTGAGGACTTTCGACAGGCGAACCCCGCTACCATGAACGGAGCCCATAGGCAGCACGTGGAAAGCATTTACTCCCCGTCTCTGTAAGGCAGGGATGCCTCCAAGGAAAATCCCTTTGAAAGCCACCAGGTCTATGTCAGCGGGGGAGCCTCAGACCTTTCCCCCAAAGGCAGCAGGTTGCAAAAGTTTTAAGTAAAAAGAAACAAACAAAAATCATCGTCGCTTTTTTTCTTGCCAAAAGTCCCATTAGATATCAACGACTGTACAGATGGTGGCGCTTTCCTCCCTGCCCCGCCCTCCCGGAGTGCCCCTTGATTTGATCTCATCCCATCGTCCCCTGAACCCTCTGCGTGACCCCGGACACTAGCCTGAGCGTCAGGAGCGCTGCCCCTGCTAACCTGCGCCCCCCGTCCTTTCTCCTCCCCCTGCCCTGGCTGGGATGCTGCTGTCCGCCTCCATCCCTGGATGCAGAAGCCCTGCGTCCTCGGCTCTCTAGCTCGCCTCCTTCTTGTTGCAGCTGTCCAAGAGCTCAGTCATAAAGGAGATGTAGACTATGGCCAGGCGTAAGGTCTCTATCCGGGAGAGCCGCTTCTCGTAGGCGAAGGTGGGCACCTTCTTCCTCAGCTGATCAAACGCTTCGTTGAGGTTGAACATCCTCTTCCTCTCCCGTATGTTGGCAGCCTGGCGCTGGGCATAGGTGATGACTCGCTTTCTCTTGGGTCGGTCCAGCAGAGACGTGCCCCTCATTCTCTCCTCCTCCTCTTCCTCCTCTTCTTCCTCGGGGTCTCCATCATCAAAGGGGGCCAGCGGCAGCCCCCTGGCCATGCCCTCTCGGAGAGCCAGGGCTCTCTCCCCAAACGGAGGTGCGGAGGAGAAATCGTACAGGTCCAGGCTGGGCACCCCTCGGGGGTGGCACTCAGGAGACCCCAGGGAGAGATCGGCCACGAAGTCCAGCACCGAGGCGCCCACCGGCCCTTCCTGATACGCCATTTGCTGGGCTCGGCTGGGTATTTCATCGATTCTCCCAGGGCGTGTGCGGGCTGGGAAGAGGCTGATATCTCACTCCACAGAGGGCTTGGCTGGTACCATCCCCAGCCCAACGGCGCGAGGGCATTAATATTTATAACCCAGCAGATAACCGGATTAGCTGGACCGAAGAGGAAGGCTATGAACTGTTTCCCCTCGATGCTGATGAGAGGAGACAGGCAGCCCCTCGGGGACGCGTGGATGTTCCAGTGAGAGAGGTCCCCAGGGCTTCAATCCTGTCACAGCGATCAGGGGCAGTTCCTTCTTGGCAACCGTCCCTAGCTCTTACCTGCTGCGCGCTTTTGTCTCTTCCGACACCCCCGCAACCGAGCGATTTTCAGCCTCTTTCAAGCCCGAGCGGCCAAGATTGTTCTCCCCTGGGCTAGCTTCCCTGCTCGCTGCACGGATCTCTGCACCTTGCGACCGTGCCTGACAATTGATGTCAGACAAGTACATGTAGGCTTTTAATGATGTCCCGAAGAGGGGACCTGCATGCAAAGGGTCACCGGGGAAATGTTTACCCTGTATCCCAGTGCAAGGAGAGCTGAAAGGCAGGACCTCCATTAGCCTAAGCAAGCATTGTAGGGGACCCCATATTGCATTCCCAATAGTAACTGTTGGAATCGGCTCCCTCCTCTCCCCCCTTTCAACTAGAGTTCAAACATCTATCCAGCGGGGCAGTAAAACACTGGCTTGTAAAGCCCATTTTGTTTCAGCCAGTCTCAAAGCACTTGATGTGAAACTCTTTCTTCCTGCATTTGAGAAGAATATAGGCTTTAATCCCAATCAACGCCTGGGCATATTCGAAACCAGCTAAAGTCACGCAATGAGAACAATACGATTTTTTAAATCGGAATCCTGCTGACTACCTTTGACTTGCCGAGTTAGCGTTTTTAGGGGGCAGGAGGGTCGGATTTTTCAGTTCAGACACCACCTACTGTATTTAGATATGCACACTAGCCCTAGAGGTATAATCATTTGTGAGACCCACCACTCTTTAATTGGAATTGCATCTCTTTATCGATTTCCTACTGTACATCGTTGGTACACGGGGTACCTTTTGTCCTTGACTGGAGTTTATTTCTGAAAAGCAAACGTATCGGTATTTTCTTTAATGCTTATCATGCATCATCAGCACACCACGTCCGCTTTGGGGCTATTTAGCCTTTAATTTTTTGCTGGGATTTCAAACCCCATCACACGTCCCCAGAAAAAAAAAATCCCCAGAAACAAAACAATAACAAACAAACAAACCATCCGGGAAAATCCTTCCTGTTTGGCTACAGGACTGCAAACATTGCCAGTCGATGGCAAAGCTCTCCTCCTATTTCCAACACACTGAGTAGCTGCTGCAAACCAAATATCTTTTTCTGTGAACGATGAGGCTGGAACTATGTCTCCCACATGACTCTCTCACTCTTCCTTACATATATTTTATATGAAGCAATTCAGGGCTTCCAAAGACAAATGGAAAGAGCTATTCCGCACAGTTAGATGTGATCAGGAGAGAACAGAGGCGTCTGGTACATCACCTAGTTTGGGACACCACCCTGAAGGTAAAGCGACAAGGAGAGAGGTACATTGGACAGCTCCCGGAACTCAGGAGCGTTCATGAGCGACCCAACAGGTAAGCAATATTTCTGCAAGTACTCACCGTCTGAGTGCCAATTAGTATAAAATAGAGGCAAAATGCGCCATTTTCAAATCAATCAGTGCTTTTTTTTCCTGCCCTTTTACTCACAAATTAAAGTGCCCCTTTTTTTCAGCATCTTATCACCTGCATTATTAGTAGTGTTATTTCAAAGTTTAGTGGCTTTTTGTGCATTTAAATTACTTAACTAAATATCTAATAATAAAGAAACAGAAATAACGCTGAGATTCTGTTCACTCTCACTAATGTGGTTAGGAGGCTTACATTAAAAAGGAGAGAGCATACCACGACAGTGTGGTATTTATTGTGCATATGTTTACGTAAACATTTGCTGTAAACCAAGATCATCACAGAGCACTATGGGAACTGTAACACAAGAAGTTGAAGAGTTCAAATTGTTCAGGAGTGTTTGAAGAGCGAAGATGAGCAATTAAACGCATAGGGCGATTTATCTGAAAAGGAACTAAACATGCTCTCTTTCATTTTACATCGTTTCAAATCTGTTTTGTTTAAAGATATACAGGTACAAATAGTTTAAAGTTGTTTGGCAAGAGGGATAGCTGACAACAAATTATTTCCATTGCAAAGTTCCTTATCAGGAATATATTTACGTTAGAAAATGAAACCAACCGGGATGGGGATTGAAAATCTTCAACTATATACATCTCCTCAACATTTCCACTGACGTATGAAGCTAAAATAGATCGGAAGAAGTATCAGATGATTAGCCTAGGCTCCTGAAACACTGATTGGTGTTCTTGGAGGTTTTTGTTGGTTTCTGGTCCAAATTTTGAATTAAAAATTTTAGGAGACAAAACACAAAAAGAGCAAAGCAAGCAAGAAAGCAACCAAACCCCTATGCTTGCATCACAATGGGTACAGAATACAGTAACATACACAGGGAAAGATTATTACAGAGTCCACCTGCTATTAAGGTTTGAATAAAAACATAGTATTCTGATTGGACAAATGAGAAGTTCTAATGGAAAAGGTACATGGGTATAACCAAGGGGATCCTGTTGTCAAATTCTGTTCAGCTGTAAGATTGTTTTTAGCTCTTTCCAAAGAACATAAGCTAAAATATTAATTTTCTTCTTATTTCAAAGATGCATAAAGTAAATTCAGTGAGCTATCATTTCAGACATATTTTAACACATTTTGAATGCAGCAGATTGTAACAGCTTGAGAGAAATGGAGGGGATGAAATATATAATGTCCATGCAAAATTTCTGTATAGAGGTTTTCCATTTCAACAGAAATAATGTCGGGGGAGGAAGATACTTTTCTGTAAGAAGCTGCTTTGAAACCTTCCCAGAACAGCTCTGTGGTTGATGAAACCTTAGATTATTATGTTCTATGTTTGTTTGAACCAGACAAAGTAATTGCTCAGTGATCATTTAAACTAGTACTCTGAAATTTTGTCAGTGCTTCACATTAATTTTTGAACTTCAGCTTGTTGTGTGTCAAAGGTTGGGTTTTTTTCAGTCACAGACACCACATAGTTTAAAAACAACATCTAGAACTTGTAGATAGATGGTTTACATCTTCAAAGAACTGTGCAAACATTTAGTTATTCACATTTCGTTAAAATCACCTACACCACAAGTCCAGGTGCTTGTATGAATCATTGAAAATATGCAGGATTAAAACCCACAAAAAATTGGCTTGCCTGACCAACCCATCCCAACCTACAAAAAATATAGCTTCCCAACAAAATAATTATAGCTTTCTCACTCAGACAGCAAATCTGGTGTCTCTTAAACCAAAATAAATGGGGTGGATGAGTTCTAGAGCTCAAGGCACTGGTATGGAAATACCCCCGCTGCCTCCCTCTTAAACCAGGATGCTGACAGTCAGCCATTTTGCTGATCACAACTGGCACAGTGTGGCACCAGGAGGAAGAGGTCATTCAGAGAGCCAGGTCTCAAATGATTATGGGATTTGTAGCTATAAACCAACACCTTCAATTATACCTGGAAACTAATTGCAAGTCAGTGTTGATCCCAAAGTTCTCATGTAACCTGCACTCTTTGTGAAATGCTATTTAATAGACAGGCAGCTGCATTCTGCACTACCTTAAGTTTTTGAAGGTGCAATACTGTACAGAATGCATTACAACAGTCTAATCTTAAAGTGACAAAGACATGGATAAATGTAGGTAGCTCTGCATCCAAACAAAAGGCCCCAACCTTCTTCCTAAACTCACATGGAGAAAAGTAGCCTTGGCTACACTTGATCTAGGATCTGCCAAAGGTCTCACACAACTCTCAATCTGTGACCCTGAATATCAAATGTTAGGGGCGCTCTTGGAATCTGGGAGGGCTGATGTAGTCTCCACTAGATATTCCAGTTGCTTTCTCCAATGTTACCTCTGTCTTGTCTATTGCTGTTGAACATTACAGTAGTACTCATGAACCCTATCAAGAATTGAGGCCCCATTGTGCTGGGTGATGTACAAATAAACAAGACAGCCCCTATTCCAGACAGTCTGCAGTTCACATGTCAGACAGAATGCAACATACAGACAGAACAGCCAAGAAGGGTGGGTGTGGGTTAGAGATTACAATAAAATGATGAATAGCGTCTAGCAGAACTCTCAGCTCATCACACACCTTACAAATGGCAGATGGGAGTGATTTGCAGGGATCACCACAGAGTAGGCATTAAGATGTAAATGAGGATAGAAGGCAGCTTTATAGATTTTAACAGAACTTTTCTTGTGCATAGAGGGTAGGATGGAGAAAATCAAGCGATTGGGGCTGGCATTCCTGGAAGAATGAAGGGGAGGGCTGATGTCTTCATAAGTTAGTAGATATGATAGTTAGGGAGTGGCTAAATGATGAAGGATCATAAAGGCGAAGACAAAGAGCTTGTGTTTGATCCAGTGGTGGAGTGGAAGCCTAGAGTGACCAAAAGCTTCAGGTGATGTGGGCAGAGCAATGAGTCAGGAAGATGAGCCTAGTAGCAGTGTTTTGAATGGATGTGAAGGAGACAATGTAGCTGGCATAAAGACCAGAGAAGAGGAGAATATAGAAGTCAGTATGCAAGACGATGGAGGCCCTTGGCAATCTAGAGAGCCAGAAAAGGCCTTTGAAATGTTATGGAAATAGAAGCACACAGGCTAGAGACACAGCCTAAAGACAGGGTCTAGAGAGAGAGCTGAGTTGTCTGGGCTGGGCCTCAAGCAACTAGCCCTCTGCAAGCTGCCACCACACACCAAGTGAGTTGCTTGACTACACCATCTGGGGAAGACAAAATAGAGACACAGAGCTGGGAGTTTGTGTGTAAGCATTCCAACTTATTGAAAAAAAATAAAAGCAACCATTTCAGAGTTTTTGTTGAACTGGATTGATTGGAACTTGGAATCTGTAAGAGACCTCTTGAAATCCCAAGATTCAGATTAGCTTTCTGCAAAAGCTTGACCCTAACATGCAGTATAAATTCCTTGTGTTGATGACATATCTTTTCAGCACCATCTGTTTTCAGAGTTAGTGAATTATTGGAGTTGCAGCCCAGGAGACAGATTCTGATCTCTGCCTAAATCCAGAATAACTTAATTGAAGTTAAAGGAGTTAACACTCTTATTGACATCAGAGTCTGGTCCCTGAGACCATTTTAGGCACTTATCCCACAGTCCCGATGGCGGATGGACCACCACATTCCA